TTCAAAGCAAAAGCATAAGTTATAATATTACAATATCCATTTGGTTATTAGGCTCAAAAATCCTCTATGTATCTAACCAAATTAGTTATTTTATCAAATTGTCAATTTGTAGCACTTCGGTCTTAATGTATAGCCCTCATGTAGATAATGCATGAAACTTGTTTCGACGGGATAGATGACGTCACTGCTAGCGCTAAACCGGCTGTGAGTTACGTAACGGAAAGAATATTATTTTGGTAGATCCCACGACCTTCGATGTTGCCACATCTGGCACAGTTCCACGATTTCAATTTCAGGTGAAGCGCGGCGTTGCCAAGCTAGTGAATTTCATTACCGAAAGTTCATTGGTATTTATGAATGACTAGTCATGCGTCTTTCTCCTGGTTTAATGCCTTCGGTCTCCATAAACCATCCACATCGTTTTATCCGGGTTTGTGTTGCTTTAAATCGCAGCTCTAATGTTTAAATCATAAATTTTTATCCGCCCGTTTTACAAAATAAATGATTCAACCCGGACGGTTGCCGATGATTTACGGTATCGAAAATCGCTTTCTAAAATTACGACTTAAAGTTTAAAGGTCTGTTTATATACGACAGGTAATTTTTCATTGGGGATTGTGTGTGTGTTTGCGTTAGAATCACCTAAACAACCCCGGTCGCCGACAACCCTATCGAATAACGCCGGGAACGTTTCTGGTACGGGGGTAATGATAGACTGCAATCCGTCCAATTAGGGGTTGTTTACATTAGAGAGGCAAATTATCGTACCGGAGCTTCTCGTTAAGGCGCTGCCAGCAAATTGGAACTTGTTCCCCTCACACCATCGGCCGTGTTCGGGTTCTAAATGGGATTCCGGCAGCAACATTCGATACGCCAAGTGCCTTTTCCAAATTTTCGTGTATTTCGAAAGTGTAATGAAATTTACACGACTGCTAGGGGTTTCAAATCACCGGGAACCTTAGAAAATTTTGGTCGAAACATTTCAGCAAATGTGCAATTCTGAGCGTTCAATTTTTTAATTGAGAGAATTGAACAATTCAAAAATAAAAAACTAAGTCGTAGTTGGTATTGCTAATCCGTCGCAAACAGTATGGCCAATTCCAGAAACCTGTGTTTTATTCAGTTTTATGCAAATACAAAACCCGAAACTTCGTATAGCATTCAATTTATCATACAGAAACCTTAAAAAAAATTACATAAAAAAATACCAATTATTTAATGTTAATCCTATATAAACAAAACAAAACAAAACAAAAAAAAGAAAGGTTCGTACATGCGGGTCAGAAAAATAATAAACAAGAAACTAATGGAAAATTGTCAATTTTGTCAAGTTTTTCTTATTTGTTTTACTGTCTTTATTATATTAGTCTCCTCTCAATATAATTTAAAAAAATTGTTGCAATTATGCAATATTGCACATTAACAATTTTAAGGCAAATGCTAAGGAATTTTTTTTTCTTTTTCACTTATGGTTGGTGATTTAATGTATGCTGCATTTTTGCGAGTGCAGTGCTTTCTTCTAGAACACATATCTACGCTGGAATGTAAGAGGTTATGGTAGCTTTAATTAGAACAGTGCTTTCCCGATAATGTTTCATTGAAAAATTTAAATTAACTTAGTGAATTATTACATTTTCACCGCAGAGGAATTCACATATCAAAATTTTTGAAGAAAATCTTCGTGGTCTTGGCCTTCAATGGTATATAGCTATTTTCTGGTATATTTCTTTTTTTTTTGGATCTACCAAGGTAATAATAAATTAAAATGATATATGGCTTAATAAATTAACAATTAAATAATTATAATTATAATAATTTCAAATAATAGTAATGTAATATTAAATAATAATTAAAATGGTATAACGTATAAAGGGCTATTTAAAAGTGTAAAAAAAATAATATGAAAATCTGCGTGGGATTTCCGGCAAACATTACCGGAAACATTTTTTTAACGTTACATTATTTAATTTTTACAAAACTTCTTGATTCCTCCGGCGTCTGTTTTTGATGAGTCGAACTTGCTGACGTTTCGCCAATCATCTTGTTGGCTTCTTCAGAGCTTGACTGAAACTGTCTCGTAAAAAGCTTGTAAAAAGTATTGCAGTAGCCTGTGGAAGTTTCTTTGAAAAATTAGGTATATTATTTGGCTCACTCGTACGTAGAATTTGTATAATTTGATAATACGTCTTGGGTAAATTTGGGGCCATAAAATATTAGGAAGAATTTATGTTTTTTTACATAAATTTATTATTTATTTATTAAAAATATTTTTTAAAGATTTCTTATTTCAATATTTCGTTTTGTATAAATTACTTATAAATTTTTAAAAAGCAATGTGAATATTTTGTTTTTTGCAGATTTTAGAGGGAGAATGTTCAAAAATTTCATTTTTACCTTTTTGCCAGGCAATTTTTCCAAGCCTGTAATATTCTAATTAAATAGGTATTTTTCAAAATTTTCAAAAAATTCATGAAAACTAACATAAAATTATATAAATATTTTTAATTAGGTAATAAATATTTTGATTGTTGTTTTGGGATTTAAAGAAAAAAAATCTGATTCAATTAAGTTTTGAAACCATTTAAAACTGAGAATTATTATCTACTACTATCCAATAGTTATGGATGTTTATTACATTTATTTAATTACAAACAAAATTACAAAACAAGTTTGTCAAAAAATATCCATTTACAAACCTTAAAAATTCTTGCATACCTTTATATGGGACAGTTATCCTACCATAAGAAACAGAAAAACATGAGAGTAAACACCTTCCCTCTTGAGACAGCCACCTTTTTCTTAATGTGCTTTCAATTGTTTTCTTATAAGCCAAAGTAAAAACAAAATACAAACTAAATGCCTGTTAAAAATCTGAGTAGCCCTCGATATTAACCACTTTAGTTTCTAGGAAAACATTGAAGATGTCAAACGCAAGTAAATAATTGAAGTAATATTGTAAAAATACAAAACTACTGCCGTTTTGAATTTTGAATTTAACAAAATCTCTTTGAACCTTGACAATAAACAATGTAACAGCACTATGCGATTTTAAATGTAAATGTAAATGTAAAAGAAAATTGCCAATTTACCACCTAAATTTTGAAGATTTTCTATAGAATTGCAATAAAAAGTTATTTTAAACGTCCTGGTATACATATGTGTAGCCGGATATAAGACCTCTAAGTTACTTGTTTTTATTTTCTGTACACGAAAAAGTACCATACAATTGCGGTAATTACAAATCGCGCATGTGCTGGCCGATTAATTATCGTAATTTAAATTTGAAAAAAAACTTGCAATCGGCAATTAAACATGGTTAATCGAATGACGTCAGTCGAATACAGGATGATAAAAATGTACGTTGCCAAACCCTCGTAAACTTTTTCGCGCTATGAAAAGGCGAATAGTTCACATAAATATAAGAATTTATAAGTAAATATGTTTGTATCAGTTCGATTGTAGGGTTTGAGGTGTTAATGTTTGTTTAGCCCCAATTGGACTAAAAATGGACTCAAAAGATAACAAAACTACAGAACGAATTAGATTTTTTCATTTACCATAAACCCTCACACACATCAGCCTTACACACACAAAATGGCTATGTTTTTATCCACGGACTACTTAATATACTACTTTCCACAGAAAATTTTGAAAAAGAATTCAATATTTTAAAACAAAATTTTAAGGGGGACACCACATAGTTAAACTTTAGTTAAGAACTTAAGGAGATATCGCCCAGAATTTCTTAATATAAAAATTAATTCTATATTATACGGGGTTTATCAAAACTAATGATATTCCTACCAGATACAAAAATTGTGAAAAGTGTATTTTTTAGAAGGGAACAACCTGTATATTATCACATATTCTAAGAGCAAATTAAATTTCCTCTCTAATGATGTATCATATGCTTAAATCGTTTGGTTACTGAAATAAAACCAAGTTTCTCTGAACACTAAATTTCTTTGGTATAATTCATCTTTTAGGTATCCGACGAAGCAAAATTTTTAGAAGCGGGAATTTCCAATCGATTTGATCAACAAGATTTGCACCAAAATAAATAATTTATTCTTTATTGAACTGTCAAACTGAAAAGGAATTATTTAACATAATATGACCATCTCAAAGGTGAATTATGTAATGCAGTTTTCAGAGAAACTTACTTTTATTTTAGAAAACAAACGATTTTGATATAGGGACCTGAGACCGGGCATTCTATTTAAAAAAAATGCACTTTTCAGCATTTTTATATCTTGTAGGTAAATCATTAGTTTTGACCATTCTGTATAATCTAGAACTAACCTCGTTATTAGGAAATAATTTACACTACCTTCCTAAGCGTTCGACTGGCCCCAGTGTCGTGATTAATGTTGGGACTGATCAATTGTTTGAAATAGCATCTTGCATTTGTGGAGTGTCATCTATCATTATTTAATAATAATATGTAGATTATAATAAATTAATATGCGTTCGTGGTGTCCAATTTACCTCGTCAAGGAATATCCGAATACCATACTCCCAAAATTGCCAATAATAATATCGACTCTGTTTGGTTTCCAGAATGCCGCCACGGCGATGTAAAGCACAATATAAATAAAATAATAAATAAAGAAAATAATTAATTTCTCAAAAACCACTAAAGTTAGGAACGTATTAGCTTTAGTGGGTCGGAAAATGGAATAATATACCATCAACCTTGAAACACCCTATATATGTACGTACTAAATTGTCGTATTAGTACGCACTCCCACGCAAGAAAATTCCCGAGGAAAATAATATATTTATATAATAATTATAATAATTAATTATACATTCGCTGTACGTCTTCTTCTTTGCGGAACTCCGTTTCAGTGCGAAACAGCAGAAGACTTAACTTTGAGTTATCGTTTATACGTATATTTTGATTTATGTATAAGGATTTATTTATTTATTATTTTTCTCATATTCATATATTTTTTTAAATTTTTATTTATTTTTCGTTTTTTTTGTTTTCCCCCAAGAACTCCCCAGCCTGCCGGGCGACTTCGAGATGGAGGTGGCAAGCATCCCCCTCGCGAGGGGCTTGCCACCTCCAAGCCACAAGCCCACCAAAAAGGAAGCCAAACTGCTCCAACAGAAACTAGAAAAGTTGGCCCGCATCAACATCCATCTCCACGGTAAGGACTTGTTTTCTGTTTTGTTTTTTTTTTAATTATTTTCATCCGCCTGGAAATTATTTTTTAATTATCTTTTGTTTATTTTGGTTTCGCATTGTGTGCACTCTAAAAAATATTTTCCCAAAAAAAAAAAGAAAATCAATGCTACGTATGATTTTGTTGCGTCATTAGATTAACAAACAAGAACCCAACCACTAAGCGAAAAGCGTTAAGTTAGAAAAAAGCCGAATTTTGCGAACATTTCCACTTAGCTGGTTGCTACTTTCTCCAATTTAGCAAATAAAACTATTTACAAAAATCATCCTGTTGGCATCTTCAGAGCTTAATTGAAACTAGCTCGCATTTTACTGTGTAAAGTCTGTTCATAGATATAAGAAAGTGACTAAAAGTAAAAGATTTTTTGCATAATTATCACAGACGTATTCCTTTTGTAGGTTCAAGCTTTGTAGAACCTCAATTAATTGCTGCTAATAACTGTCTACTGTGATAACTTGCATTGTTCATTACAATTACGCCATTAGGAGGAATGTTTGGAACTAGTTTGTTTTTAAACCAACTTTCAAATAAATCAGCGGTGGTGTCTGCATGGTAATCCAGAGCAGAATCTTTAATATTTTTCGCAGATAGAGAAAGTCCATTTGGAATCCAACCATCTTTAGAGCCAGCATTCCAAATAGTTATTCTTTTACCTCTTTTTGATGGCGCGTTTGTTTTACACTTATCAGTTGAGTCAACCCAACCCTTTTCCGGGGTATCATGACTGCCGAACCAGGTTTCATCCAAGTAAATAATTGGCCTTTGTTGTTCTCTGTAAATCCTAATTTTTTCTAGATATTCCAGTCACCATTTCCGAATTCTAAAAGATTCCGTTAAAACTTCTCTTTTGTCAATTTTTTAAAATCTAAAACCTATATGTTGAATACACTTCCATAAGGTAGTTCTGCCACATTTAACACCTGTTTTATATTTTTCAAGCCTCCTAATTAAGATATCTAATGTAGGCACGCTTTGTTCCTCGTATAACTCGAGTAAATGTCAGCATCGCTTCTATTTTTCCTCGCTGAAATGGGATTATTCACAATTTTCCATACAGTTGATGATGGAATTTTCGTCAATGTGGCCGTTTCTTCTAAAGATGCTTGCTTGCTGGCACCCCGTTCAATGAGGGTAAACATTGTTTATAACTTCCTTAGTCTCAATAGAATAGTGTTTTCTACATTTGGGCGGAAGCACATATTTTATATTATGAATTTTTATTATTAATTTGCACACGATTCAACACACGCTGTATTACACACGAAATAAGAATGATTACTAATAAACTTAAACTAAGTAGTATACCAAACCAGAGAATATTAAACACAGGTAGGTATAAAATTATTTTCTATTACGGACCACAATTTTACCTGAATTTAAATTCCGAAACTTTAGGTAATAATCTTGTTGCATTGTATGTCAATGACTACCCTTGGATAATCCCATTCAAAAGCAATTGGGTCACTTTCTTATATCAATGCACACTTTATTTGCACTCTGTATGCAAGACTGACACGGTATGAAACGGAGCACGCGTCGGAAAGCGGTGAAAGGGGGCGGGGAGGCGCGTGTTGAGGAGTGGGCGAAAATTTACTCGAAAACTTGACCTTGAAACGGACGTCCTTAAAGGCTGTCCGTTCGCTCGTCCCGCAACTATTGTGTATCGCCGAAGGTGTAGAGTTTCGGCCTCTCGTAAATTGAGTTCCGAACTAATAAAAACAAAAACGGAATCCCGACGTTATCGCAACACCATCTCCTCCGCATCTTCAGCCCCCCGCCCTCACTCCGATATCGATGTAAAAAGTGTCCCATTGTCCCGAAGGGACCGAAGGAATTACACAGGTCTACAAAATTAAACTTTTTGACAGATATTTTTATTTTGAAAACTGATTTTAATATTATTTTTTGTAAGCTGATTTCAAAAATTCTATGCATTTGTTTGTATCACGTATCCGTTTTTTTGCAAATATTAAAGGAAAAAAACGATATTTCTAAAGGCATTCGTTTATTTATTCAGTAAAGAACTGCAATGATAGTTATCAAAACAGTGAAAAAGAAAAACTTTACCCAGACTTTTTGGAGTGAAATTTTTGTATAGGGTTTTAACAAACTACTTATCAAGCCAAGTTTGATATGAAGAGGAGGCACTAATCTTGTTGCATTGTATGTTAATGACCACCCTTGGATAATCCTAACCAGAAGCAATTGATCACTTTCTTATATCTATGAACAGACCATACCTGCTTATATGTTGTTTTTTAAGGGGGCGGAACTAAATGAGGGACATAAACATCGTCTCGGATGACTGATTCCAATATTGGTGAAAGAAAGGCGCGAGTCTCAGTTAAGATTGTTGCTTATAAGATTTCTATAGGCTCTCAGATTTGTCGTTGGTTAAAAAATTGATTATATTCAAGAATATTAGTTTTATGGAATACAATTTTATGTCCGGTTTCGTGATTGTGTTCTGCAACTGCTGATGGGTTTATTTGTCTTAGTCTTAGGGCTCTTTCATGTTTTTGATGATTAGCGAAACGTTAGCAAGTTCGACACAACAACGACCAAGGCAGGAGGAATCCAGAAGTTTTGTAAATAGTATTACAGAAGCCTGTGGAAGTTTTTTTGAAAAAAATAAATAATCCTCTAATTTATTACTTATTATGACTACTTTTTTTACGATAGTTTCAAAGGGCACAAAATTGTCTAATAACTCACGCCATTCTTTGACATTACTTAGCTTTTTTTTTTCAAATTTTTAGAACCTTCGGTATTAAAGTTGCTCTAAAAGGGACATCCGTTATATTCGGATTGCGCACTTGTCACGCGTTTTTGCCTGCATTTAGGCGAGAATCCTTTCGACCCAGAAGGTAACTGAGCCGCGCACATAATACCATTTCGATTTCTATTTTATTATTCGACCTTGCTTCGAGTTTTGTGTACTGAAACAACACGACCGATATACCCCCAAAAGGACAGAAAGCACGCCACGCCAAACATAAACCCAATAAAATTATGGAAGTTAGGCATTATCTCAAACTTCGGAGACATGAAGTTGTACTTCGCGTTTAGCCGGGCCGCCATTTTATCGTCCGGTACACGCCCCGAGCAAATAAATTGGAAAAGTTGGACGCTCAAGGCCCCCGCAAAGTTTGTTCGGAGAGTTACTTTTTAGTCGATCATACAAATGGCGGTCGGAAGTTTTTCCACTTCGCGAATTCGGAATATCGAAATCCTACCGTCTGCGCCAAGGAAACTAAACCAAAACTGTCCAAAAGAGACCCGACAAAGCGCAACAGTGTAGTCAACACAAATCACATTCTAGACAACCGCTAATGTTGCTGCTACAATTAAATTCTATTAATATCTTTGATTTTGAGACATTTCCTTATGGGAGAGAGAAAAGTGAAACAAAAATGACTGTTCTTTGTTTTACTTTTATGTCAAATATCAAACTAGTTTGATTTTTGCTATTTTACAGAACTTCCCCCTAAAAGAAAGGAAAAGAAGTTCTCAAAAAGGCCCTTAATGAATATTAATTAATTAATTAATATATGCCCAGCAACACAATAAATATCTGACTTTTTGCGAGGAGTTAAGGCACTAACAAATGTTTTGAAATTCCCTTTCTAAAAAAAGTCCTTAAAATTCCTCAGATATCTTAGAACTACTCCGAAGGACCTCCAATTTTTCTCTAAATTCCTCAGAAAATTTTGTTGAAAACTTTGTTGTGTCACATATTTTCATTATGCTAATCAAACTAACCAAAAGAATCCTCGAAAATTCCCGGAAAATGCACTGGAATTCCTTGAAATTCTCCGAAACACCCCAACGTTTTCTACAACATTCCACTGAATTGCCGTACCCTTCAGCGTATTGCAGACGTCTACTTAACATGATTTCTTCTACATATTTCTTCTCAACAAACAAATTATATTACGTTAATACGTGTCCACATTGTAAAACATATTCTATAATAAAAAAATGAGAAGATATTCCGATCGGTCCTCAGCATAGTTACGAACATATTCGGGTCGCATTAATCAAAGAGCGGCAAACAAAGCGGCGCAGTCGGTAGGATTTCATCGCTTATTAGTAATTTTCCAATTAAAAAAAAATCTCTTTCTCGAGCATTACGCGCTGTCGAACCCGACATCGATTCAACGCAATTCGGCAAGATAAAGCGGAGTGCACTTTTCTTTCCCCTGTCGTCGCGACGTAATTGGAATCATTGTCCGGTACATTGATTTTTAAGGTCGCTTTGAACGAGAAAATCGGTTTTCGATGTCGATCGTACAAGTGGAAACGTTAATGCGGCAGTTGTTTTTCATGTTTCAGCTCTGTTTGCGGCGGTGGAAAACGGCCATTTAGAAAAGGCGCGGACCATTTTGGAGTCTACAGACGTCGACGTTAACAGGTGCGTTTTTTTTTTCACGTTTAGAGTTAATGAACTTATTAATTGGTAACAATCTAAATTTATGACTAAAATTTGACTTTTCCGGCTTTTGTTGTAATGTATCTTTCACGTTCACGATCTCATTGGTTTTTTAATCTTACAAAAACCTACAACTTTGAAATATGTCATATAAATATTTGGGATTTATTTTTGCAATATGACTTCTTGTTATCTAAGACTTGCTATAGCATTAGTTGGCCATGACAAAATCACATTGTCAAATTTTTACCTGACAACACAGAAATAGATTTATAGAGCTATATTTCTTTTTGTGGGGATATATTATAAAGATCGTAATTATATGAATTCCCTACAATACTAGAAGATATGGAAAATATGATTTGCGACGTGTGCACGAGAATATCACCATTTATGCTAAGGAAAGTCCAAGAAAATATACGAAAATGGCTAAACACGTGCATCCCAGTAATTAAATTAAAAATAAGATAAATTAATTGGTAGTAATAGGTATTTAATATTATTTACTTTTTCTGCGAATTTAAAATTTTTGCTTTATCTTCACCAAAATTGTTAATAATTATAATAATAATAATAATAAGCTTTATTGTCTAACAGATATAATGCCCAATGACAAGACAATTAATTCGCTAAGTATAGTTACCAGGTAAAATGAAAATTCCGAATAACGGAAACTTAGCAATAAACAACATGGTAAAAACCAACAAAACCAAAAGCCACTATATAAAGAACTTCATATATAAAAACAAAAAACAAAGCTCAAAACCGAATCTATAATAATCACCTGAAATGTAAAAATCTATCTTTTAATGCCACAGTAAATTGAGCCGGTATTAGATCATATCACTACAAATACTGACTTCTGGCCAAGAAGTTTGTGGAGGGAGTTGCGGCCACATTGCAGAGCAGTCTGTAAGAGATACACATAATTACTCCATATGCTTAAAAGCTAAATATTTTAAAAATTTCCTTTGAATATTTTGTAATTGATAAAAATAGTTTAGCTAGCAGCTTAGATCTAACAGTGTATTTTAGAATAATTAAAATATTGGAAAAACTATTAGTTTTGGGCATGTATTATTATTAATAAAAAAGTTCAAAACGATTTCAAAACAAAATTAAAAAATAAAATGTTCCCTTTAATAAAATTATGAATTATTCGTCACGATTTTTTGAGCAACCCTGTATACTTTAAAATAATTTTAAATTGTTCATCCTAACAATATTTACAACATTTGCATTTGCCATTTTCTCATAACTTTTGGAACTAATCAAATTAATGAACTTTACTCTATCTTTGACTCACCTGGTACATAGGAAGCAGATTATTACATTTTGGTCCTAAATAAATTATTTTCTCCTCATACTGTTGAAGTTTTTGGCATCACTTAATTTTACAGAAGTTTGTTCAAAAAAATTTTTGAAATATTATGTTTAAACTAACCATTCTAGTCAAGGATTTTTTTTCAATAAACATTAACATAACATATTAACATACAAAACGTATTTGATATTTAGGCTACAAGTGCCTTTGATTTTGTTTATACAGGAGCGTCGCTAAAGAGGGGGGGGGATGTCTCCAAGGTTTTTTTAAGGGGATGTTTTTAATCTTTTGAACAAATTTTTTGCTACAAAAAGGTACTTTTGTTAAATATATATAAAAAGTGAAAAAAAGTAATGTAAATTATTTTGAACTCTGAACAAATCAAAAGGATAATTTTTCATACTTAATAGGAAAAAATTTGGCCCCCTTTTTTACTAATTAAACTAACTTTTGAAAATTCTATTTACCCTGGAAATGAGCGAAACATTTTTTTAAACCAAAAAAGGTATAACAAAAATCAGCAACATTTTTTTGGAAAACATGTTGCGATAAAACCGCACCGTCATAAAAAGTAATTATTTATTTTACCAAAAGAAAAGTTTTGCCAATAGAGCAAATACGACGACGAAGGTAAAAACCGAAAGTTGCCATAAAAAGTTTAAGTTTTGAGACAAAATTTAAAAAGAAAGTAAAACATTTTTTAAATCAAAAGAAAGGCCTTTTTTTGTGTTTTCTTGAATAAATTTAAATATACATTTTGGTCGCTTATTCGCGTGCGACAAGCAACGATTTCACGCCAGCGTTAATAGTGGTATGACGTACGATGTCAAAATAAAACAATCCATGTAAATGGAATGTTTGGGCGTATAATTTAATGAGCTTCAGGTGCAAGAATCGGATTTTGTCTCGTTCATTTTCAGTTTTTCGTAAATCGATTTCGTTAAACGGAAAATTGGGTTGACGATCCTCCCCTGCCCCGGTGAAACTCGTCCCGTTAGCGAATTACGCGGTATTGTGATAAACAAACGGCTGTTTACTTTTAAATTTCCAAAACAAATTAACGAAGTAAACAGACCTAATTGGGTCATTACTTAATCTGCTTCGGGCAATTTGCCGACGACCGCCGCGGCGAAACGGGCGGCAAAAAATTGACACGCCCAATTCAAGGACGCCGCCCCCCAACCCCCGATACAATTACCCCTGCAGAGGCGAATAACGTAATCAAATTACAGAAATATCGCAAGATTTCGTGATTCAATTCGAGCGATTCGCTAATTAAGCGGCTCTAGAATATGTCTGTCTCAGGGCCGAATTTTAGATCGGCCGATAAAGTTACCAACCAGATAAATATTCGTCTCATAATAAACAGATTTTATCGCTGTTGGAATTGGTCTTGCCCTGGGTAACGGAGTTCATGTTAAAGGCCACACGAAACAAATAAAAAGAAGAAGAGATACAGTTTTAGTTGTGAGGTTAGACTAAAGTAGTTGGTTTGCTTAACAATGGCATTCATGTCTAAAATGTCATTCTAAACACTTTTTCCATTCGCATTTTCAGATATTTTTCTTCACACTTCACATTTCGGGTTCCGGGTCGAATTTTCCGAATTTACTTCCGTGACTGTCAAAATAATGTCCAAATATAATCTAAGGTTATCGGTTATACAGAAGCGATCGTAAAACAAAATTTTGTAGCGAACATTATAGTACATATGTCTTTGTTCTTTTCCTCGAATTTCGATATTTTATAATAGTGGTATATAATATATATATATATATATATATATATATATATATATATATATATATATATATATATATATATATATATATATATGATGACACTATATTCCGGGATATCATCCGTTCGCTCGTTGAACTCCGACTGGAATCCTGCAGACGTTTCGCCAAAATCTCACTTGGCATCTTCAATGCTCGCGCTCCGAAAACACTTCGAACACTATATATATATATATATATATATATATATATATATATATATATATATATATATATATATATATATATATATATATATATATATATATATATATATATATATTCCGGGATATCATTCGTTCGCTTCGACTGGAATCCTGCTCGCGCTCCGAATATATATATATATATATATATATATATATATATATATATATATATATACAGGGTTTTTCACTTAAAACTCCGCACGCCAATAAGTCCAAAACAAAAAGAAATATTTAATTTATGTAAAAAGTAGTCAAAGTGTGGGGTCAAGTAGACATTTCCTAAAGTTTAAAAAATTCGACGCCTGCAAAGAGCTGGGCGTCGCGACGCGTCGATAAATTATTCGATTGCAGAAACTCTGGAAATACGCGCATACAAAAGTACATATTATTTAAAAACTTTTTTGTTATTTACTCAAACTTATTTACTTTACCCGTTTCTAAGTTATACCGATTTAAAGTACACATTTCTTGATTAATAAAAAATGTGATTAACGCTTATTTTTACAAGTATGCCATGAATGTTAGTTACTATGGCAACCATTGTTATCGCAGTTGTTTTAAGTGCAATTACAAACAATAGATTTCAACTATTTTAGTATGATTTTATTTATTATTTTTTATCGATTTAGTTCTGATAACATGATAAATAAATGAAAAAACAGTAAAATACCTACAAGTTAATAACCAAAATTATTATTGCAACTAACTACATAATAAGACATTTCAAAAATTTTGTTCAAAATTATGTCCATCTGCTCGAACACAACTATCAAAAACTTTTAACAGATGAGCTTGGGTCACTTGTAGGCGAGTCCTTCTTGTGATAGCGGCACACGCTGCACTAATTTTGTTAATGAGATCAGCCATATCTTCAATAGGTTCTTCATAGGTAACGTTTTTTAGGTAGCCCCAAAGAAAATAATCTGGTGGTGTAATGTCCGGGTGAAAAGAGTTTCTATGTAGAATTCTCCACGAAGAACTTATGGTAACAACGGTATTTTCTTTTATCTCTGATAGGGATATCTTGGGGTTATTATCAACCTGCTGAATTACAGCAGCAGTATTTTCATGATTTGTAGCCGTCCTGTTCCTATCTCTTTTAGGTTTTATGAAGCTGCCATATTCTCTTAAGTTTTTACATAAACTTGAAAAGGTTTTTGCATCGGGGACTCTTCTATGCGGATAACGCCGTGCGTAAACTCTTTTTGCTTCTTTGCTTCTCTACAATTGCATCTGCATTCTCCAAACACCAGTAACATGTCTACTTTTTCCTCATTGCTAAATTGCACCATTTTCACATAATAATTCTTAGTTTTTTTTAAACCGAACAAATTTGGATATTTCTTGTGACAAAATGTGACAATTTTTTGATACAGCAATAACAACTTACGTTTGTAATTGCACTTAAAACAACTGCGATAACAATGGTTGCCATAGTAATTAACATTCATAGCATACTTGTAAAAATAGGCGTTAATCACAATTTTTATTAATCAAGAAATGTTTACTTTAAATCGGTATAACTTAGAAACGGGTAAAGTAAATAAGTTTGAGTAAATAACAAAAAAGTTTTTAAATAATATGTACTTTTGTATGCGCGTATTTCCAGAGTCTCTGCAATCGAATAATTTTTCGACGCGTCGCGACGCCCAGCTCTTTGCAGGCGTCGAATTT